ACCTCGCCCATACTACCTCGCCCATACTACCTAGCCCATACTACCTCGCCCATACTACCTCGCCCATACTACCTCGCCCATACTACCTCGCCCATACTACCTCGCCCATACTACCTCGCCCATACTACCTCGCCCATACTACCTCGCCCATACTACCTCTCCAGTCATTATACCCGTTATAAGCTAGCAGTGAATGAAGAGTTCCCAGGCTCCACAATACAAGCCCTACACTCCCCTACACCTGATAGGGGAGTATTGAATGAGTATAGCTGGTACAAGCAGATTGGACTTTAGTCGATAGCAATACCCCTCCTCAACCATTAATTATACCTTATTAGGAGCGCGCGAACACGCAGTCTCATATCTCCCTCAGATGCAGATCCTCCATCTGATTGGTATCAGCTAGCACGTGTTCTTATTACAGTGTCTGAGTGGCTGTTAGCACGTGGTGTGACATGCTTTACTTGTTCACCACCCACTACAGCTACAGAGGGTGATAATGTGCTCATGTTTCATGTCCAGGACGGCTTTATCTCTTTACTTACGTCATTATCACGTGGTGTGACGTCATGTCACGTGGTGTGACGTCATGTCACGTGGTGTGACGTCATGTCACGTGGTGTGACGTCATGTCACGTGGTGTGACGTCATGTCACGTGGTGTGACGTCATGTCACGTGGTGTGACGTCACATTTAGTTTCATTAAAATAAGTGCTTGTACTATAAATCTATTGCCTCAATACTTGTGTTGCTAGGTTACTGACTGGGCTCTTCTGTTCTGGTTATTGTTATGTTCCTCTCAAAGTTTCAACATTCCACAAATAATTTGCTACCTTGTTTACATGGATACTTCTGATTATCATTAAGACTCTTTCCGGACAAGTTAAGGATCACTCTGCGCCCTTGAAGGTAGCATGCATCTATTTAACAAAATAGGGACAGTTTTTTAAGAAAAATTTGCGAATTACAATTAAAGAATTAAATGAACACCGTTCTCAGAAAATGTGCGAATTACGCTTGAATAACGAGTACAATAGGAAATAAGCTGGATAGACGATTGGAGCAGCAGTTACATAAATAATTTAAGGAATTTGTTGATCGTTATATTTCGCGGTGTAACGGTGTTTATTTCATTTTACAGTCCGACTTTTGAACATTTATCTAAAAATCAATCAACTACTGAAGCTTGCTTAGAAATTTGTTTTAAAGTTTGCTTTAAAAATTCAAAGAAGATAGGATAAATAATAAATATATACATACTATTCAATAATCTAAGCAGGAGCGTGCAAAACAGTCTATGTTCATTGTTTATAATGACTTGGAGTAATTTAAGTTTACTTCATCTCTATTCTCATATGACTCCCTTATCTTTATTTTTACCATTTCTGGGAAATTCATATCAGCCCTCAGGCCTTGTCGTTGTTGCCAGTAATTGTTATTGTCAAGTCAAGCTAGAACTTAGAAGTTTAGCTTTTCTGTAATGGGATTTGCATCATCATAATACGAGAGCTTTCCTCAGACATGTCAATATCACTACCATTAAACTCTGAAGATGGAGCTTTATTGTAAGGTTCTGTTATTTTCTAGCACTTACACTCTTCAAATAATGTAACAATCTGCAACTGAACTTGAAGCATAAAATAATGTGATATCACAGAAATTCCCGATGTAAATTAGAATGCTTTTCTAATTAATAGTACGCGCCCTACACTTGGGATAGTAGATTAAAGGCGAGTGTGGTTTGTATTTATTTATTTTCGCAACACCACTCTCTCATGAGAACCGGTTATTGTTTCTCCACCCGAAATAGAAACACAGTAAAAGGGTTCGGGTACACTCAATCAATACAAAGAGATTTAATGTGTTATTTTACCTTTTTGTTTGAAGAAGAGGGATCTCTTGCTCCCCCTTCTTTCTTTAGCCACTGTAATACGTGTTTCTCAGAACGACTTCTTTTCTGTTTGAGTTATCAGCCCGCTTCAGCTGTGGAGCTATAACACTTCTATTCGTGACGTATATAGTCGTAGTACAATTGTGAGCTTTTGTGTTCTTTCTCTTTTGTTTCTTGGTAGCACTAAATTCTCATGTGGGCAGTCTTTTGAGACACTGTCTTTTAAAATGTCTGAAATATAACTCAGCTTACTGAAATATAATTCAGTGTGACCAGTCTGGCAATTGTAAATATGATACCTATTATTATAATTATTTACTTATATTAATTGTTATAATTATTTACTTTTGACTAACCATGACGTCATTAGCACATTTAATAGTTAAAAGTTTTTCTAAGCTTGACGGTTATGAAATACATGGCTCATCACAGCTAACCATTAATTGGGGGGCCGGGGGGGGGGGGTGTCCCCCTCCATTAATATCGTAATTATAAAGCGTTCCCATCAAGTTAAATCATTTTTAAGGGGGGGGGGGGGGGGGGGGGGGGGGGGGGGGGGGGGGGGGGGGGGGGGGGGGGGGGGGGGGGCCAATGGGTATTTTTTTGTGAAACTTGATTTCTAGATAGCAATTGACCAACAAACTTAGACCAGTGACCGAACTTTTGAGGGGGTCCCGGACCCCAACCGCCAAACGGTGCGCGCATGGCAGCCACGCCCATATTTGGTCCAAATTAGGCCCAATTTAGCCAAATACCCTGAACATGCCCAAAACCAAGGTTTATGGTGCTTTACTTGTAGCTAGTGGTCTCCTGAACTCGTATATGAAATTTCATCAAGATTGGACGAAAAATGACTGAGTTATGAGCCAAAAACCATATGCCCATATTTGGGCATACGCACCAAATTTGGTAGATTTCGGCCCATAAATTGGTCAAATATCAATATTTTTGAATGAAACTTACTTTATATGAAAGGTAAGCCTAAACTACATAAGTACATATTATCTGTAAGTTATAGCTTTATATCTGTTTAAATGTGGATACTAAGGCGAAAAAACCACAAAAAATGAACTAAATTGCCCATATCTGGGTTTGCGATATTTGCGGAATTGATCTCATTAAAATTGTAACAACTCAATCAGTTTTCAAAATTTTTGCATGAAATTTTCGGAATCGACTCGAAATCGCATTTCCACATTATTTTAAATACGGATTTTTGATTTAGGCCTCCAAACAAATTTGGCGGCCAAATTCTGAATTTTTGTGAGATAATTTTGGAATTTGGCCGCCAAATTTTTTTGTTGTTTTTTTCGCCTTAGTATCCACATTTAAACAGATATAAAGCTATAACTTACAGATAATATGTAGTTTAGGCTTACCTTTCATATAAAGTAAGTTTCATTCAAAAATATTGATATTTGACCAATTTATGGGCCGAAATCTACCAAATTTGGTGCGTATGCCCAAATATGGGCATATGGTTTTTGGCTCATAACTCAGTCATTTTTCGTCCAATCTTGATGAAATTTCATATACGAGTTCAGGAGACCACTAGCTACAAGTAGAGCACCATAAACCTTGGTTTTGGGCATGTTCAGGGTATTTGGCTAAATTGGCCCTAATTTGGACCAAATATGGGCGTGGCTGCCCTGCGCGCACCGTTTGGCGGTTGGGGTCTGGGACCCCCTCAAAAGTTCGGTCACTGGTCTTAGTTTGTTGGTCAACTACTATCTCGAAATCAAGTTTCACAAAAAAATATCCATTGGCCCCCCCCCCCCCCCCCCCCCCCCCCCCCCCTTAACTAAATGTGTTGAGATAGATCTTGTAGAAATAAAGAATATAATAAATGTGTGATCAAGCCCTCCAGAGGCTCTGTTCTCGAAATAATTATGTAGTTTGATAATTAGTTTTAGTCACGTGACCATGGTTAGTGGTTACCACGTGACCGTGATAAGTATAACCCGTAACATTGACCATTCTTTTGGCATTAGTTTTACCACGGCTAACACTTGTAACGAGTAATTATGCCATATTTGGTCATGTATACCAGGTGTAGTACCGGTGCTGCTCGCTGCGGCCTGGTTCAATATAGCACTCTAAAAACTTACTGTTTAGTCACTGTGGGACCTGGATCAGAAAATATAGCACTCTAAAAACTTACTGTTTAGTCACTGTGGGATCTGGATCAGAAAATATAGCACTCTAAAAACTTACTGTTTAGTCACTGTGGGACCTGGATCAGAAAATATAGCACTCTAAAAACTTACTGTTTAGTCACTGTGGGACCTGGATCAGAAAATATAGCACTCTAAAAACTTACTGTTTAGACTTTAGTCACTGTGGGACCTGGATCAGAAAATATAGCACTCTAAAAATTTACTGTTTAGTCACTGTGGGACCTGGATCAGAAAATATAGCACTCTAAAAACTTACTGTTTAGTCACTGTGGGACCTGGATCAGAAAATATAGAACTCTAAAAACTTACTGTTTAGTCACTGTGGGACCTGGATCAGAAAATATAGCACTCTAAAAATTTACTGTTTAGTCACTGTGGGATCTGGATCAGAAAATATAGCACTCTAAAAACTTACTGTTTAGTCACTGTGGGATCTGGATCAGAAAATATAGCACTCTAAAAACTTACTGTTTAGTCACTGTGGGACCCGAATCAGAAAATATAACACTCTAAAAACTACTATTTTCAGTGATATAATATGTAGTAATTAGTTACTAGTATTTTAAATGGTCAATGATTATTAGAATGAAGTAAAGTCTCTATTTTTATTCCAGGAACCTGGTCTGCTATGAAAACAGTTTCAATTAAAAATGAGGTGGTGTAAAAAGAGATTCACTTTCAATTTAGAATAAGCTGGTTCAAGCTTATAAGTATTAAAAGAGTTTCACTTTCACTTCAGAATGAGTTGGGTCTGCTGTGAAAAAGTTAATCTTTAATTATTCAATTAACGACGACCTCGGTCACTATTACACTTCAGAATAAGCTGGTTCTGGTGTAAAAAAATTTCACTTTCACTTTTATTTCACTTTCACCTTATGTCACTTCAGAGTGAGCTGTGTATGAAATTAGTTTCACTTTCACTTTAACTTCAGAATGAGCTGGGTCTGCTGCTGGGTGAGATGACCACGACAGCAGCGGAGGAATGGTTCATGATGATAGACACCGATGAGGATGGGTAATAAGTTTTCTTTAAATTAATAAAGATACATTAATTAAGTTAACTGGATTTACAAAATTATTAGTAGACGTTATTCCTGCTATTTGCATATTTTCTTAGAGTAAGAGTTGATAATTTATCTGTTTTCATATTACGGATCAGGTTAGGTCTGGTAGATAGGTAGATAGATCGTATTCTCCAGAAGTAGACCTGCAAATCCTATATATAATCTGCACCTCTAAACCCTTATAAGCTTATAGCACTGTAACACGGTATAGATACCTTTTCAACTCTGAAAATAATGTGGGGTTAGTGTTACTAAACGTGGGGCTGAGTTTTAACTTGTTTCAGGTACATTGGGTTCAGAGAGATGGAGGAGTATTGTGTGGGGAAACTAGCCTTCACTAAGGAGCAGGTAATTAATTAATTAGCGAGCAATTAGCAGGTGGTTAACTTGTGATTTGTTAATAAGAAGTTTGCTGATCAACACTAACTATTCAGCAAGCTTTTTGACACTATTTTTTTCGATTAAGTACCCAAAAGAATTGAGTGCTCAAGTTTTATAAATATATTATTTGGTAAAACCCAAAGACTGTAGTATAGCAAGGTATAGTGTAGGTAAGCAATATTGATATGAATAAAACGTATATCTTCCGCTTATTCGCGTGATTTTCCCTTTGTAATTGAATTCTGTGTAGAACTATAACATATAATATAGGTGAGCCTTGTCTAGCTGTAAAGGTGGTTTATTATGTTCTGTAGAGTGTTCTAACTTATGTGAGGTAGGTTAATAACGTTTATATATTCTCTTAAATAACAATAACATTATAATAATAAACATTAAACATCACTTTCCATGCTTATTACAATAACAGTTACCTATCAGGTAATAATAAAGATTTGTCAGATGGTGCTAATAGATTAATATTAGCATGCGCTGCTTCCGGCTGAATTTGTCATCAGAATAACGATATCTCTCGATAATTCTGTTAAACTTAAAACTAACATAGCAGTCACTTATCTGATATTGTAAAGATAAATTAATAAAATATTACTTGCTGATTTGAGCCTTCCCTATATAATAATATAACAAAGTGTTCAGCTAAGATTAATAAGGAGCAAGTAGGTATAACTTATATGGTTTTCTAGGAATAGTGTTATTGAATTAGGGTAAGTCGAGTTGTGTTGTCTTTATAAAGGAGCAGTTAGTCTGACAAATAAGATTAGCATTTGTTATACTCCTTATAGATCTGCATTAAATTGTCGGGGCCTGAAATTTGAAGGTTTTATTACTGGCCTGAATGAATATTTTTGAGGGTTGCATATTTAAAAATTGGTTCAAACGATTAGATTATGATAGATCATCAGTTAAATTTTTTACATCAACTGTCTTTTTCTTTAAAAAGGCATAAGATGTATAGAAGTGCAGAAGGAATTGAGAATGGGTATAGCAGGTAGCTAAGTTTTTCGTACGGTGTCACAAAGCAAAACATGCATAACCCTCCGCATACTTTATTTTAATGCATATTTTCTGCGCGCAGAGCAGTTATGGTGTAGTCGCCATGGTTACCCTCCGCATACGTTTGCACGATTTGACGATTGATCGAATTACACTTCCGATTGCGCGCGGCGCCAATTGATTTAGATAACACGCGATTTCCCGGATTTTATACATTACATGTGACATGTGTTAAGTAGCCCACGCTTTTCTTTATTTGATCATTGATCATGATGCGGTACAACATACTAACTTCTCGTTTTGTTGTGAGTGCTTGATTTGTTATACGAAATGGACCATAAATGTTATTATGAGTTGCATTAGTATTACCTGCTACGGATTTCACGACTTTTAACTGCATATCACCACACAGGCGCAGGCGCTACGGTGTCCGGTCATTTAACTTTTTAAATTTGACTAATTGACAATGGCAACCCCTCCATTTTGTGTTCCGTAGCGCCCCAAGAATGGTGAATAAAGAACCATTATTTAATATTTTGACCAACATGAAACTATCGTTAATTTAAATTTTAAATTTTAAAAGGCATGACAATCACTACGGTTGATGGAAATCTAGCGTCCGCTAACCGGCGCAATTCTTGTTAAAGAAGTAATGCAGGTAGTAGCTGGACGAATTCGACGAAATGTTAATTCTCTCATTATGAACTTTTAACATGTTTTTAGCAATTAATGTACCGATGTACTTAATCATTCGCATTTTATTCAACACCAACATAATCTCAATAAATGTAATAGATTTGTAATCAGTTTTAAAGTCGTGCATTAAAGAAAGACCAACTAAAATACATTATGTGGCTGACAAACAATGACCTGTTGTAGTAATTATATTACTAACCTAGCCCAAAATGTCGTGTAGTGAAATGTCCCTTTATTTACTTCCCCAGTACCCAGATTTTCCCTCTTGTATTACATGTAATCCTCCCTTAGGTAGCGGACGTGTTTGCGAATTTAGACAAGTCTGACCTGGGTAAGATTAGTAAACACAACTTTATGGAGGGACTACAAGAGTTCGCAGCTAGCAACGGGGTCACTGACTTCTCCGAGTTAGCGGACAGTTTTGATCTCCATAACTACGATGAGACTCCTACTGTTCTTACCCCGGTAAGTGAGGGAGTGTGACGTCATACCACGTGACATGACGTCATACCACGTGACATGACATCATACCAAGTGACATAAGGTATCGAGTTTCGTCAAACCACAACCTCAGAGCCCGAATACATGTCAACCATGATGATATAAAGATATAAGATCGAGCTAAACGTTACAAATTCTCACTGAAAGACAGTTTACGTTACCCTGGCCATCCCCCAGGACTACGAGGGACCCCTGGACCCCTCCAAGCTAGACGAGATAGTGTACGAGGAGAATAGCTCTACAGCAGCAAGGAAACTTACCTCCTTCCCTTCCCTTGATTTCGATACTTGGACTGATATGTTACGGCGACTGGGTGCACTTGAAACTTTCGAACAGTCAGTACTTAAATTCCTTAGATTCCTTGTCAAGTTATATTTTTATTGGTCATTTTTAGTAGTATTATTGTTGGGATTTTATATTAGGACAAAATGCGCTTATCTTATCATGTCATTTCCTCCTGACAAAATTATTAAAGTAACTGCTACTAACCTCTTGCCCACCCCAGTAATGAGGGTCTCAGAGAGATGTACTACACAGCCCGAGATAAGTGTCCCCACGTGCTGCCTAAACTAGAGGACTTCATACGAAGTATCATTGCAGAACGTAACAATCAGAATCAGATGAAGGCTAGCATGGAGGACGTTCTTAACAGGTAATTTTATAGCAGGGTGGTGTGTTTATGAAGGAGCAGTGTGGTGTGTTTGTGAAGGAGCAGTTTAGTTATTCGTCGAGACATCGTTCGTGATTCCTTTTTTGTTGAGGCGCACTTTATGATTCAATATAATATTTTAAGGGTTTGTTGTGAATGTTTGAAAATATTCCCACAGTCCTCTAAAACACAACATCTCTTGTTATAAAACATCCCAAACACGTAAATAGTAATTCATGTGTTGTTGTATATCTGATCCGTGTTCAACCACTTGTTGAACCAACTGATCAATCACAACGCAGCATCCCAGCTAACCAGCCAATCAGAACACAGTATCTCTTCACGTGACACATGAGGTGTATTGACAGATACACTCGCATGAGAAGTCTTGTGTTTCCATGCGGTCTTCTCATTGGTTAACGACGTGTCACGTGACTGTTTCCGGCGATCTGACTGGCTGTTTGGATTTCAGTAATGATTACATGGAGTGTGTACTGTGTAGGTATAAATGTAGAGGTGCTATATTTGAACTCGGAGTACATTGTCATGGGGAGAAGTTTAAATAGTGGAACTTATAGTGGTACTGAAACTGGTTTTATAGCATTCGTCTACATCTGAAAATCAGAATCATCAAATAATAACAGTGGAGGGAGTGATCGTTGAGTTTTAGAGGAAGCAGAGCCAGTCGAGTAACTTAAAAATATATATCTGAAATATAAGACGCTGCTAATCTCTTCTAATCCTCCACAAAGTTCAAGTTCAATAGTCCCCCAGAGCAGGGTCGCCTGACTGACTGGGTCACACCACATGTCGCTCTAAATGTAACACTAACTCTTTAATTCTGTGTCACTACATTATCCTGTCTCGCTCTGTGCAGGTTCATATTGCCAGGATTATTATATTGTACTGGAAACATGTCTGAAATCACCTTTATATTGTAGACTAGTAGTAGTAGTAGTATTGTAGAGTATCTCACCCCGATTGTCGCGACAATCGTTTCTTGTCTCAGTATCTTATAATTAAGATGGGGGTACTACAGGTAGTAGTCAGTCTGGGGTATTGTCTGGGGTATACTGGGGTATTGTTTCCTGCAGTCCCCAGACAAAGTGTGTTCTTGAGGGCGGGCTATTTCATTATCTAACTTGAAAGAGAATTCGCAATTGTCGCGACAGTCGTTTTAAAAAATACAATGACCACGGGACCTTGTGAAATATTTATCCAAGTTTTTGTTATGCACCGCTCTCCCAAGATTTTCGAATTGTGTACGTGAGAAAATATACAGATTCATTACTGAAATGGGATTTGTAAAATTTAACATGCAACCAATGTACGAGCTGGATGATTTAAGTAAACATTGATACAGGAACGGTAGTTGCAGCTATGCCACATACATATTACATATTACATGTTATTACGTTTTTCTCAACGATGTAGTTGTCAAGATTTGGGCCTAACGCTCTCATTAGTTAATATAAACATGGTAATGAATTAGCGTTGTTTTCTTCATGAGTCTAAGCTGTTCTGGTTTGTCCAATGACTTCTATTATCTTTCTAGCGACTCTATATCTTTAGCGCCCTACATATTGAGGATTGAGTGTTACTCCCACTTTGAAAACTCGTTAGCGATTATGACCATCTGTTTGAAAACTCAACCAAAGAAATATTAGTGCATCAAATTTTTGCCTCAACATTCGTTGAATTGAGATGTTTGTGCATATTGTACGTAACGCGCGAGAACAAAGTGACATTGAGATTTTACAAACGTTACAGATTATTATATGCGTGTTCGAGCTAGCTAGCTGCGCGCGTTATTTGTTGTTAGCAGTTCAGTTTATTTCAGTGGTATTTTGGCGCGAAGACGACCAGTTTGGTTATCCGTTTCACCCATTAACCAAATCATTGAGCAGGATGTCAGTTAAAAACGCAAGAATAAGAAATCCTATCCTAACATTGGTGGTAGTCACCAGTGCTATCGATATCCCCAATATTACTACTGGAAACATATCCACACAGCTGAATGACAATGTTATTTCAGGAGGCAGCAAGCGTATGATACACATTTGGAGACTCTAGAGTCTGAGATGAAACTAGACGCCAACTCCCGCAAATACTCAACTCAAATGGTAAATATGTTTGTAATGTAAAATTCATGGATCTTATTTCGGTAGCTATTCCAGATTCCCATTCCTTCTGACCTAAAACTCGATTTTACTGTTTATATTATCAACACTCGTGTATTCTTGTGTAAATAAACACTCCATTTCAGAACCAAATACGTCTAGATCTGTCAGAGTTAGAAAAGGTGCAGGAGTTAGAGATGATAAAGTCTAAGTGGATGGAATCAGAGATGAAGTGCAAAAAGGTACGTGCAAGTTTCAGGGAGTTTTCTTAGCATGGTTTAGGGAGTTTAGTTACCATGGTAATGTATGAGTAGTTTTACTGCTGCGAGCTTTTCATCATCACTTATCATATTATAACAGACAGGCACGTGTCATGAAGTTGAAAAGTATAACACCCATCCATATGTATGATTCAGATTTCATTGTACCATTTACCATTGCTTATAAATTACATAGGTACACTGAATTATGAGACTTGTTGAAACAGTTTCAAAATGTTTTGATTTTAGTTACATTTCCTACATAGATAAAAATATGTAGTGGTAAATCAAAAGTTCAGTCAATAAAACTAGAAAAATAATATATTTTATTTGAAAACAGAAAAATAATGAAAGCCATCTATTGTTCCCTCTCAACAATTGTACCCGAAAGCGCTCCAATGAACGTCACAACGGCTATAGACCATATGACTAGGCGACGTCTTCTCCACCGTTTGTACGTCAAATGTGGACTGTGTAATGTAGCCTCGCTCTGTAAAGATAGCCGGGCATCTCCAAATATAAGTTCCGCTTAAAGTAGCAGTTATCACTGGTATAGAGACAAATCCACACTCTGCAATGTTGATTTGTTTCCAAGCTGTTCCATATTCGTAACTCTGCCATCTGTACAATCCAGTCTCGCTAAATCCTGACACGCCAGTGCAGGTCATTGCACAGGGTGCAGGATGAGATTTACCGTCAGGAGTATTTACGATCTTCAGTTCGCTTGAGAGACTGAGGTTTAATGCCATCACTGTCATCAGCCAGCCGAGCAGTTTCATCTTAGAAGTTCAAACGAGTTGGATCTTTACCACGAAGACAAGATGTTTGTATCAGATTAAGGAAATAAAATTTATAATTTATTTGAACTGGTTCAACTTTTATTTGTATGCGTAAGTCTTATTGTGAGGCAGATGTAATTCTATTGTGGATTATATTTGTGACGCGACAAATCGGTATAATTAAAATACGGCCACTATGGGGACAATTGTAGCAGCTGCTGGGCAGTAAATTAAGTGTTTTGTTTTAACAATAATATCGCCACGGTTGCACCACGCACGCAACTAATTATTTCACTAACAGATAATAGTACTTTACATGAAAATAAGAGTGGTGTACGTGACCATTATATTACGTACAACTATAAGTTAGAATCAATAAAACTAGGAAAATTTATTTATAATCCATTAAAAAAGAAACGTCATGAGCCTCTCTTGTTCTTTCTCAACAATTGTACCCGAAAGCACTCCAATGCACGTCACAAAGGTTATCTACCATTTGAGTAGGTGTTGCTTTCTCCACTGTTTGTACACTATTATAGCCATTCTCTACGAAGATAGACGGACAGTCACCACGATAAAACCCGCTTATCGTAGCTATAATGACTGGTCTAGTTACAAACCCACATTCTTTAATGTTGAGCTGCTTCCATGCTCTTCCGAGCCTTCTCCCGAACCGGACGAGTAACTCCTCCAACTGTAGCCACCAGTATCGCTATATCTCGACACACCAGCACAGGTTATTGCACAGGGAGCAGGATGAGATTCACCGTCAGGAATACTCGTTATCTTCAGTTCTAACAAGAGTGTACAGTTAAATAGCATCACAGTCACCAGGCAACCGAGCAGTTTCATCTTGGAACGAGTCTCTACCACGTAGACAAGCTATTTGTATCAGCTTAAAAGAAATAAAATTTATTTGGGTAAGTTCAACTTTTATTTGTTTGCGGAAGTCTTTGATCGTGTTGTAATTTAAATTAAAGCTGGTTAGAGAGTACAGATGTCTCAATTCTATTGTAGATTATATTTGTGACGCGACGGATCGTTATAAGCAAAATACAGCTGATATAAAGGTAAGGGCTCTTTTACCATAGCAGCTGTTGGGCAGTAAATGTGTTTGTTAAAAATGTATTCGTGGAGTAAAAGCTTTTAGTCAGGGAAAATTAGCAGGAACCATCTGAGAGGCTTCTCTTTGCAGGAATTTTGTGCGGGGGGGGGGGGGGGGGGGGGGGGGGGGGGGAACTAGCTAGATCACGTCATTTTCTCCCGGCGACTGACCAACATAATGGAAATATAAAATACGACAGTTTCAATGTTTGCCCTGGTAAATACTAAATAATATACTCTAGTTTCTCTGGTAAATACTAAATAATATGCTATAGTTTGTCGTCAATTACTCGACAAATGATCACTTTAGGGTATATGTTTCCAAAATTGGTATTTGTTAATCATGGGGTCACCAAAACGGAAGCAAAGCATGACTTAGTTTCAAAAGACCCTGTGAAATATTAAACGCCCTTTTTAAAAAAGCTGCTACAGACTCATTTTAGTTGGAAAGGGGCATGAGGCACGTACTGTAGTTCGAAAACTTAAGTTCTCCAGTAATCAACGCTGTCGAACTAGGGTACGCGACGTGTCGAACTAGGGTACGTGTAGCCCCCCCCCCCCTACGTGGACCATAATAGAGCATTAGGACTTTAGGACAATACTTAGCTTTGGGAACCAACGCTTTTAGCGTTTAAATTCAATTAATAATTAATAATTAATTCTGCCATCTGCTACTTATAAGCAACTCTACAAGTAAATATAAAGTTAAACTCATCTCTGTGAGGTGGTATCTGGATAACTTTGAGGACTGTAAAAGAAGGGCGCGCTATTTCTCGGATCTTACTGCTACCACCTGGTGCAACCACGATGTACCTGACCTCTAGTTAGTTATTGACTTCAAGATTTGCAGAATCATCGTCCACCTGTTACTTCTAGTGATTTAATTACTGCGATACTCCGCTTATAATTAAATAAGACTTTGCAGCCATCTCCGAGCAGTTCGTACTTCGTATTTATTTCAAAACTAGATCGAATAAGAAGGTTCCTGTGGGGAAGCTACCAGCAGTCTGTCACTGCTGACTATTCGGCTCTGTTGGGTGATCTGAAGATCTTGAGCACGCCTGTGGTGTTGCTGGTCCCGCACCATGTGCCTTGACCTGCTCTGGTGTCTCAAGATACAACGAGATTGGTTATTAAGTTACTATAACAGTCACTACTTCTGGCAAAGAGAAACTTAGCAATTCTGTGGAGTTTCACAGTGGAGGACACAACAGCTACTCACTTCATCATGTGTGATGTGTACTGGGGTTCGTTACAATTCTGTTGAAAAGACACACGGTGATATTTTGTGCTTACTTACTTACGACCAGTAAGTAGTAACCAATGTGACGTGTGTTGAACTGCGAATAAGTACAACTGCTGAGAAGAAACAAGAGATTATATTTTACATATTATCTTCTTGTTAAAGTAAATCTGGATATAAATTTTACCTGTAAAACAAAGTTTGTTTTTATTCTCTTCCAAAAATTATCGGAGAAAATAATATCTCCAAACTTAATAAATGAGATGTTTTTACTGAAACTTACAAACTAGTACAAGTTCACTTTAAATATCCTATTTGTTACAAAATGCAAGTAAATTTATGATTATATAACTGATTACAAGTGTATTGAAACTTCTATCAACTTAAAACCTTTTCCATGAAAATCAGATCCCTACTCAAAAATATTGATCAACTACGCGAAGATGTAGAAATATAAGACAAGTACGATGTAACGTTTTTGAACGAGACCAACTGCAAACTAGGAGAATAGCCAACATAATTAACGACGTCACATTAGATTGATTCCACAAACCGTTTATCCAGGATCCAATTCGAATAACTAAATAGTATCGAAAAATTATTTTTAAAACAAAAAATTGTGCTAAGGCACAATTTTTTGTTTTAAAAATTATTTTTTTAAAGTAGTACCTGGATTGGTGACAAGCACGGTTAAATAGTTATATTAGTCCAAGTTAAAGTTGTATTAAGAACATTCTCATAATTCTTGTGCTTTATCCAATGTGGTATAAAATGTACCCTGCTCTGGGTACGGCGCTATGGTAACCATGGTAGCAGGTGATGTAGATTGTGGGGAGATGTTGATTGAAAGCTATCAAGCTATCAAGTTATTTTTTCCCGGAAATAATTTGTCAACGATATCCCGGTAAATAAAAAACATTTACAGGTACGTTAACGTATGGGGCATACCCAGTACCCACATTTCAAAGCTAGACTGCGTTGCTAGGCTGCGTTGCTAGGCTGCGTTGCTAGGCGGCGTTGCTAGACTGTGTTGCTAGGCTGTGTTGCTAGGCTGCGTTGCTAAGCTGCGTTGCTAGGCTGCGTTGCTAGGCTGCGTTGCTAGGCTGCATTGCTAGGCTGCGTTGCTAGGCTGCGTTGCTAGGCGGCGTTGCTAGACTGTGTTGCTAGGCTGTGTTGCTAGGCTGCGTTGCTAGGCTGCGTTGCTAGGCTGCGTTGCTAGGCTGCGTTGCTAGGCTGCATTGCTAGGCTGCGTTGCTAGACTGTATTGCTAGGCTGCAATGCTAGGCTGCATTGCTTGTCACAGCACTGCACTCAGATTGGCTCGCTGCAGCAGGCACACTACTTTCACATCACAAGCTGTAGTACTGTAGTAGTAAGACCCTGATTTTACTGTAGTAAGACCGTAGCGAGAGGTTCAATCAGAACTGATTAGAAGACCTCTTGGCTAATGAATATTGGCACCAGAGGACCATGCAAGACATTAGAAGGTTAAATTGGTTGCGTGATCCTCCTCCCAATCAGTGCAGCTTGTTCTGTGTTTAAAGTTCTGAAGCTTTATATAAACCTCATTATCCCTTATTTGGGCTGTTTCCTCAGCTTTATTCACATTCTGCCACAATGCCCTATTAGCCTGTGAATGTAGACGATCAGCCGTTATTCTCGGTTTCTTTTCACAAAAACACTGTCAGATGTCACTTGTATGGCTGTGTGTATCATCTGGTTCCTGATAAACCCCTTACATTTACTTACATTTGTATATTTATAAACGGTGCTCGTTTTTGTGGCATCCTTCTTGGTGTCAGCCTTCTTTATTTTTCTTGATTCACAATAAATAACCAATAAGAGATCATAGTACT